AACATGACTGAGTAGCCGCCCACCCATCCCCAAATCCAGGCTCAAAGATTCAGCAAAACTGACCACTCAGGACAATTGCAGAAAGAAAAAAAATCAAGGGCTGCACTAAACTGATGAAGCATGGCCAACCATTGTGACACACATTTGCACACAATTTCATCATTCCAGTTCACAATATCTCTCTTGAATGTTCAGGCTGGTGTGTTAATCATGTACACCAAAGAGACTTTTCAAGTCAGCATTTTAACACCAAATTACCTTTCTCAAAGTTATTTGGAGAAAACAAAATAAACATGCAGTTGGCAATTCAATTTAACATAAGCTATATATATTCACACACGCACACACAAGAAGAGAAACAAATAAAAATGTCAATGACAAGACACTGCACATTCCCATAGATGAGCATGGAGAAGAGACTGAGGTGTCATGTGATAATGAACCAGACAAAGACAATTAGACGCTAATTTCTGCTGTCACAGTTTAAACTCGTATGGCTTTCCCCTTTAATTTTTTTCAAAACATATTCTCTGTCATTTCACAGAGGTAGTATGATTTTTCCTTTTAGTCATCTGAAATGTGCCTCCTAAATCACACTTAGATAATGTCCTATTAAATCTAATCCTTAAGAAACACACTACATAATTCTCCTTGTATTCATTCTAATCAACCTATTCTATCTGTGCTTTTTCTATCCAAAATCCCAACCAAATCTCCAAATGCAGTTTTTCTATGCATCCATGGAGGTCACTGTTGAATCACACAACATGTGTAGACCTCTCTGAACCCAACAATTTCAAAATGAATACAGTTTTTCTGATCTAGAACAGGGGGCAGTACAATGTACTGGTTTGAGTGTTGGACTAAAACTCTCAGCCATAGAAACCCACTGGATGATCTTGGTCAAGTCACATTCTTGGCCTCAGAGAACGGAAAGGCAAATCCCCTGTGAATATATCTTGCTAAGAATACCATGTGATAGGGTCACCATAAGTCAGATATGATTTGAAGGCACACAACAACACACACAATATAGAGATATATAGATATATGTATGCATGTGTGCATGTGTAGGCATATATATATCAGTCACCAATGGTATAATGTAAATAAATATAAATATTTTAAACAAACAAATAAATAAATAATGTTTGTCACCACTGACGTCTCTTAAAAGTTGGAAAACACCCCTCTCAGTTTTTATTTCAGCAGAATTTTATCGTATTTCCCAAGGTGTGTGTAACTCACATAAGGAAATTTACAGTGTTAGTTTGGGTGATTCTTCCACAAGCAGGTCAGCCCCAACACAGCTGATAAAAAGCTTCAATTGAATAACGTCCAGCCTTAATGCACTATCTTCCCTGAAAATATATAGCCAATGTGCAACAGCACATATTGTTACATTTCACAGCAAGGACTTGGGGGACACAGCTCCTTAAAGTTGTAGTAATCATATTCTACTCATGCTCTGTTTTTACTGCTAGCTGTAAACTAGCTCTACATGCATCATGGTTTGCATCAAAAAGCACACACACCAAGCCCATATCCAAAGAGAAATGGAAGAGTCAATTTACTGTTTTGACAGGCCATACTCCTGAGGCTGGGCACACCAGAAACAGCCAGAAAAAAAGTTGACATTGCTTATAAAAATCAACTGCACCCTCCAAACAGATTGCAGGAGTGGCAGGTTGGATTTGTTTCTTAATTCAGATTAGTTATCTCAACAATATAATGCAAATGGAGACACATCTTAAAGACAATGGACAAAAGACTGTGGCCCGGATTTATGGACACACTTTAAACCAAATTACTTCAATTTGCCTGTGCTCTAAGATTAGCAGAGGAAGGCTTTCTCTCAGTACCATCACCATCCCAGGTGCCTCTGGTGAAGGCATACAAGAGTCTTCTTCATGGCTGCTTCCAAGTAATGGGACTCTCAGATGAAGACCTTTTGACGTGAGGAAGCTTTTGATTTTAATGCATACAGCAGATAAGTCTTTTAATCGTGAGCATAAGGTTTCTGTTGTATTACATTTTAAAGTGTCTTGTAACACTGGTTTAACTTGGGTTTTTAAAAATAGAAATGTAACTTAACTATATTTTATTTTTTTATATTAATTGTTTAACTGTATTGGATCTTGGATCCTATACTGGGAGAAATACAAGATATACAGGCGCGATTGGCGGGGACAAGAGAGAGGGCCTTCTTGGTGATTGCCCCCTGGCTATAGAACTCGCTTCCTGGTGAAATCAGATTGACCCCCTCCTTCCTGTCCTTCAGAAGGATGGTAAAATCTTGGCTGTGGGATCAAGCTTTCAGGACAGTGCAATAAAGCAGCAATAGGAAACCTTACCAGGCCAATTATATTAGGCGCAGATGATCAAGACGGTTTTAAACAGTGTATTTTAATATTGTGACAAATGTTTTTAAGGTTTATGTATGCATATAATGAATTAATGTCCGGGCATTGAATGTTTGCTGTATAGATGCTGTGCTCCGTCCTGAGCCCCCTTCAGAGTGAGAAGGGTGGAATATAAATGTTTTAAATAAATAAATAAAATATAAATATAAATCAATCAATCAAATAAAATTAATACATAATCAAATAAAATTAATAAGGGCGACAAACCCACCCACCCCCACATTCTAGGAGCATATTTAAAAATGAGAGTATCACAAAAGGCAATGGGGCTGGCTCCTCCCAGAACCCCATCCACCTAAGCATCATTGTCACACATCAGATCTTAAAATATTTAGGAGAATATGAATTTTTTGCTTTTGATTTTTAATACATATGGGTGAATGTTTACTTTTCAACTCAAGGAAGTGCCTGACGTATTCATATTGACTCACACATTGTAGAGTCTAAGCTCTGAAGTAAGACAGGGATGTTTACAGGACTCCACAGAAATCAAGTATTTGGAATGTTCAATACTATGGTGACCTAGAGATTCATTTTTATTTATCAACCCATTCTGATTTCATAATCTAAACAGTGAGACTGGGGATCTCCACAGACATAACAACATAGAAATCTAAGCTGCAAAATAGATAACTGCATATGCAATAGCCTGAGAATCTCTCCTTTCATTTTTAAATTAATATTCTTGGCCTGCTAAACTGTGAAGCTGGAAAATGACTAGGCATTATCCACATATAGAAGTGGAAAGAGAACCAAAGAAAAGTGTATACAGTTGCATTTTATCACTGTGAAGGAAAGAAAGGGAATACTTCCATAGTTTTCATAATAGGAGCAAAACACATCCCTAAATATGCCTGCACTCACAATGTGTCTCAATATTTCAGATATGTCATTGCTTTCTCTTGGGTTTCATCCTTGGATTGCACAAGTCTCCAGTCCTCAATGAGTAGTTAAATTAGATAGAATTAGAGTGAGGGATTCCTTTCACCACATTCCTATGCATGCTTTTCCCAGAAGGGGCTTTGTCTTTACTCTTCTTGCTTGCCAGTATTTCCTCCCCGCTTTGAAGATGTAGTAATGGAATCTTTGTGAGGGATGAGGTAACTTCCTCTTTAAAGGTATTTTTATTGCCCCGGCTTGTTGGCCATGTGGTGATTCTCCACTGCCCTTCTCTCTCTGCCTTTGTCTTTCTTTCAGTGAGGACACATTTTGCCATTCTCCAGACAAAATATAGCTGTATGGATACTTTTGATATTTTATTCTTTTACCTTCCTTAAAAGATGAGCTTAATAATCTAGTTAGCTCCAAGACCCTTTTCTATCTAGAATGGACTTCTTTTTACTTAAATAAATATTTTGAACCCAAAGTTGTGACTCTGCAATCCTGTTCAATCCTCTTGAATGGAAGCTAATTCTGACTCACTACACATAAGTTTCTGCTGGTAAGAGTGCTTCTGGCACTCTGCTATATTTTTTAGTGGAATCACCCCAAGTGAGAGCTATTTTTGAGCCTGAGAGCTCTCATTCCCAACAATTTGCAACATTCAACCTTCCCTTAACCAGAATCATTTCCCTAAAAACTACAATTAAATAGTTTTTTAAAATAATGAATTAATGAAATCAACAAAATAATAAAGCAGTTTGACCATTGCATATTTATTCTTTCTGAACTTGGATGGCATGTTTTCTAAGTTTTTAACTATTTAAATCTGTTGTAACTCTGTTTAATATGTTGCAATTTTTAAAATGTTTAGGTAATTGTGTTGAGGCACAATGTTGTAGAATTGTAAGCCGCCCTGAGTCCCCCTGTCGGAGTAGAGAAAGGTGGGATACAAGTATGGCAAATAATAATAATAGTAATAATAATAATAATAATAATAATAATAATAATAAATAATTACTTTGTTTTTGTTTAGCTGAAGAATATTTGACACCTGCAGAGTAAAAACCTAGAACCAGAAATCCAAACCCGATACATAAATCACTGAAACAACATAGTTTCAGAAATGTTTTCCCAAGAGGCTTTTTACATTAGCAGTTCCAAGGCAATTTTAGCAAAGGCAACTATGAAATCAACAACCATAGACAGGCCCACAACAGCTGGAAGTTACATTTAGACTAATACAACTATCCTTAGGTTTCTAAATTAACAGCTAAATCAGAGCTTTCCAAACATTTCATGATTGTGACACACTATTTTAGACATGACTCATTTTGTGACACAGTAATTCAGTTTTACTAGGAAACTGTAGGTTAAACCAGCCCCTTATAAGAGGTACAGACACATACATACAGACTCAAGAGTTTTTTTTCCATTTGTGCGACAAACCTACACACTGCAACCGATACACGAATGTGTTGTGACACACAATTTGGAAAGCTCTGAGCTAAGTGAAAGAAGGCACAAAAGGAATTTAATACATTCAGGTTATATCATCCCAGTTTTTATACAGAATCCAATGAACAGGATTACATATTCACACACAATATTCATTCGCTTGCATGTTATTCTCTTTAAACAGTGCATATGGGTTTTTTTAAACCCAAGGAATTCATTATCAATTATTAAAATTATTACCTGGGGATGGATCTGCGGCTTGTCACATGTGGCTTCAAAATCCAGCACTAGGAAGTAGTGATATCTCTGGGGGGGAAAGGATGACATTGCTGCCATGGAAGCAAAGCCGTGGGACGCCAGTTTCCCGGTTGTAGTGGAACCGCACCCCTGGGAAACTCCAAACAGCAGAAAGAAGTGCAGAGTATTTCTTGATCTTGGGAGTAACCAGAGGCGAAGCCTTGTTGCTGTGGTAGAGAAAAGTGCTACCATTGAATGCCTTGCAGCATCTGGAACTCTGGAGAAAAACAAAAAGAATCAAGTGTTATTTTACAAACACATACTTCACTTTCTTCTCATGGTGGAAATACAAGTTCAACTTTAAGTATGGGTGGAGAGCTGGAAAGAGTTCTTACTAACCAAACCCCCAAGTTTAAAACACGTGTATTCTGCCCTTCAAAGCATCTGAGAAGCTAACAAAAGTATTCTAAAATAGTAACATAATAAATGAGATGACTAAAATGTCAACTACACAGCCAGATTAAAACTGCACCCGAATGGAAGAATGAAATACTTGAAACACCTCCGTATCTACTATTTCCCACAAAAACAACAAACAAACCTATTTCAACACCAAAAAAAGAAGAGAATGTATGTTAGGACACAAGGCGACAAGGGCAACATCTATGAACAAGTTACAGACAATGATTACAAGTCTTATAGTGGATTGCATGTTAAGTCACCAGTGGACTATGGTCACCCCATAGACTTTCAGCGGTTTAAAAAGATGTAGTTAAAATACACAGTACACAAAATTTCCCATGTTCTCATCAAATATACCTGAGTGGATGGCAGGACAGTCAGAAGGGCCACCATAGATCCCCTAAAACCAGGGCCAATTTGTTTGGGAGGATATAATCCTTCAGACAACCTGGATCTGTACTGTATATGGCTTTTCAGGTCATATCCAGCACTGTGAATTGTGTCAAAAAACAGAAGCATGGCCAATGAACATTTCCAGTAGGTAACTGTGTAGCCCAGGCATGGGCAACCTTTGGCCTCCAGGTGTTTGGGACTTCAACACCCACAATTCCTAACAGCTAGTAAGCTGAGATTTCTAATATTTGAAGTCCAAAACATTTGGAGGGCCAACGTTTGCTCATGCCTGATCTAGCCTCTTTTTGGAGACATCTAGAAAAAGAGACCTCACCACCTCTCTAAATAAATGATTCCACTGTAAAACAGCTATTATCATTAAGAAGTTATTTTAATGTTCAATCAAAATCTACTCTTCTGTTACTTAAAACCATTACACTTGGTCCTACTCTATGGGTAGAAGAGAACAACCTGCATCTTTCTTTCTGTGACAGCCCTTAACGTATTTATAGAGGACACTCTTCAGATTCCTTTTCATCGAACTGAACATGCCCAGCTCTCATGACACCTCCTCTTGTATTTTGATTTCCATTTCTCCTATCATCCTTGTTGCTTCTCTGGACCTATTTCAACTTATCTTTATCCTTCCTAAAATGAGTTGCCCATAGCTGAACTCAGTCAGACCTTCAGATGAGGTTTGAGTGGTATAAAGTATAGTGTGAGACTATTATTCCTTTATCTTGAAAACTATAGGACAATATATTTGCCTGTGGGCTAGGTTCCCTAGGTTGCTCTATAATTTCCAGTTATGTTGTGGAATGGAATACTGAGCACAAACTAAAAGAATGTAGTCATTGCATCCCATGTTGAGACCCACTAATATTTTAACAGACTAAGCATTATATGGTGGATTATCCAATAATTTTTTATTTTGGACTACGCACATATTAACCATAAACAGATAATACATTCAACGCCCTACAGTAGTGAGATAGCTATACCATACATCACATGCTAGGCATCAAAATTCACAGCTTGTCATTTGATTTTATCTTGCCATAAATATAATCCCAAAGGGAAGAAAAGTATAAACCCAATGGTCACTCTCAACTCCAGCATGCTCTTTCAGACACCTGAAGTTAAATGTTCTCTTAACAAATCCCCATGAATTTAGTGGGACTACATTAACGGGGACTGACCATTAGACATGGGTCAGACTGATCTGGTGACTAAATGCAAGCATTTCACCCCCAGTCATGCTGATAGAAATTGCCTACAGCAATGCAGTAGTCCACCAGTGAACAAGCAATTGGCTGTTGGTCTATGCGGTGTTTCCAGGAAGGAAGGAAGGAAGGAAGGAAGGAAGGAAGGAAGGAAGGAAGGAAGGAAGGAAGGAAAGAGGGTCAATGAGTACAAATATGATGCTGGTTCATAACATGGGGGGGGGGGGCTGTCGATCTCTGCCATCAAATAGCTATACTATACAGAATTAAATAGTCCGAGATCAATCTTTTTTGGCACATACATTATTAACCCTTTTCTGCAGTAAAGTAGAGGAACAAGCACCCTGTGGTGACCACTGCAAATAATAGAAAACATATATACCGAAGCAGAAAAAGAGGCAGATCAATTGCCTGTGAACACAAAAGATATTTAACTGCTCCTCTGTATCCATTAGTCCAATCACACACATGTCAAAACATATACTTAATGAGGAAAATAATATGTCCTGTTGAACAACAACTGTACCCGAGAGACCAGTAAGGAAACAGATTAAAGATAACTGGAGATAAGCAAGTCATACTGCCATTCCACACAGAAAAAAAGTAAATGGGCTGTTTTCAAGGACATATTTCTATAGAATAGGCCAGTTGGCACTGTTCCATTATTCGGGTGGAGGCCACTTGGGGGCGCTGGAGAGAGAAGGATAGTCTGGGGGGGGGGGAGTTGAAGGAGGAAAACCATTTCCCCTTTTGCTGGTTATTCTCCCTCTTCCCCTTCCCATATCATAAACAAGGGTTGTTTCAACGACAGGGACATGGGTAAGGAGAATAACAGGAAAACAGTGGGAAAGTTTTTTCTCCTTCAACCCACCCTCCACCCACATAAAATGGATTATCCTTCTCTCTCGCGCGCGCCCCCTACTGGCCACTGCCCAGATAATAGAACACTACCAGCCAGTTCAACACACAGGACAAAGAGACAAGACAAATGACAGAACTGTGATGATTGTAGAACCCTGATGGCAATTAAATTCATTCACAAGGAAATCTTGGAAATTTCTTTAATGCTAAGTTACTACTATACAGCAAAGTTATGAATGAAGAAATTGTGGAAAATCTCCCAAAAGTTCCTCAATCCAGCCTCCAGGTCTTCCAATCTGTACCAGTCCGTGTTGTCAGGCTCCTTCCCACTCAGGGCCCCAGATGTCTTTATTCCTTGGCTTTGGCTATGAAACTCGTGGTATGCATGTGTACTGGTGTCTTGAACACACCAGATACTGATCCATGACAATACTGGAAAGATCTTGCTTCCATAAAGTAACAGGTCAAGTCTCGGAAGATGGAAAACCAAGCTACAAAGATAATAAACAACCGCCCTTGTAGCCTAACACTGTATTTATCCTAGAGGTTTCTCGCCATAACACCAATCTTTCCATCTAGTGTTTTTTATTGTCATTAATAAATGCATTACAGCCAAATAGAAGTTAGTAACAGTCACTTCCAACCCATCATGGAGTAACATGTATTTGAAAGAAATACCTACTAAATCTTCAAACCTGCCAAGCTATGTAGCTGTAGGGCTATCAAGCAGATGAAATGATCTCAAATAAAGCAGGCTTTTGTAATATTTTACCAAGGCAAAACCAAGCCACACCAACTATACAGGAAAGTACAAAGGAAAGAAAAAGGCACTACTATATCAGGAAATTAGCAATAAATGCACCCAACATCCATCCATTCATGCACGTATTAAAAATGTGACTTTGCTACTATACTTTCAACAGCAAACCCCCTAATTTTGACATCTTGCCCTGAAACATGAGAAGATAATTGCCTCCTTCACTCCTTGGAATAGTAATAAGATTAACTGCAATGGTTTTAATACCTATACTGAACTGAAGTTGCCATCAACACACATTCATGTTTTCAGAATCCCTACACTAGCATTTCTGGACATGTAAAAATCAAATCTAGTGGATAGAGTTTATGTACATACTCATGTATCCGTCCAGAAATTTAAAAAAATATCCCAAAAAACTAATTGACTTATCACAGGTCAATATAAGTACTGCACTTTATTTAAAAAAAATCACAACTACTTTTGAGTAAAGTAATAAAAAGTGAGAAATTTGTCTTCAAAAAACCTAAAACAGGCACCAGTCCTCTTGATTCCCTTTATTGTTGTGCCGCTTCTGGCTTTTCTGAATACCTAGATGGGAAAATGGCAGTGGCCATGGATGGCTGGCCCATGAAGTGGTGCTGTCTCCTTCACTTCTCTGCAATATGTCCCCAAGTTATCCATAAGTCATATCAAAAGCCATAACTTTGTTCCCAAAACCTGCCCTCTACTTATACATGAGGTTGACTTATACACAAGAATATACAGGCAGTCCCCGAGTTACAAATATCTAATTCACAAACAATTCACTGTTAAGAATGGGCGTGAGACAACAGGAAGTGAGAGAAATCTTCTCCTAGGAAGGGAAATTCACTCCTGGAAGAGTTATCATGGGGAAAAGGTGTCTCCACTGAAGCTTTATCTCCAATCCTTGTTTCCACAACAAGCCATTTTTTTCAAAATCCAATTATCACACGGACAGAAATTGAGGTGAAATCTTCTGAACAGGGGCACAGAAAGCAAAACAAATAGCACAAGGGTGTTAACCCTCACTCCTAGGCTATCCAATGCTAGCATATATGTACAGCAGGAATGGGCAAACTAAGGCCCATGGGTCAGGTGCAACCCCTTGGACTCTCTTCCCTCCAGCCTCGGAGCCAGCCACATGTCACACACCCCTCTCAACAAGAGTACACAACAGCTCGTCCAGTCACACGTGATTGCGCCAAGCTCTCCCGAGAGCCCTGAACACCTACGTGCCAAGCCCTCTCCCCGCCCCAACCGCCCCCCAGCCTCTCCCCATGTCAAATGCCCTTGGCCTCCCTCTCCGTGCCAAACACCACTTTCCAACCCCTTTGCCCCCGCCTCACCCTGCAAATGCCTTCACTCCTGGCCTGGCCCACAATGAGGCCCCAATGTCATAAAGTTTGTCCACGTCTGATATACAGGCAGCCCCTGAGTTGCAAGCAAGATAGTTCTGTAGGTTTGTTCTTAAGCTGAATTTGTTTGCAAGTCGGAACAGGTAAATTTTTAAAATGTAACTCCAGCCAAAAAAATTTTTTTTTAATTACTGCTGGTACA